GGTCATGGAGGTAATGCTGTTAAGAGCGAATGTACCTTTCAAAGAGGAACATGCAAATTCGCATGTTCACTAATTATTTGCGTTTCCCAGAGGCAGAAACTTAATCGAGAAAGAATTTTTTCGGGGAAATTCGTCCACACTGAGAGTATTACCATGGCACTAGCATCGAATGAGCTCAACAAGTGTTTCCTGCCTACATGTGCGGCTATGTACCAGGTTTGGCCCCAAAATGAGGAATAGGTTAGGAAGGAAGCAGAACGCGTTTGATTTGGGGGCACCTGTTGGCCTTCGGAAATTTATATAATAACATTCCGCAAGAAGAACCTTTAATCTGAAAAAATTGTTGTTCCAACTTAAGAAGATTCCCCGGGTAAGAATCAATATCCTCGGGAGCTAAGCAGAATAATTATAGTACAGCAATAAAGTCCTTCGGCCGAGGAATTTTCTGGTTATCTGTTAATCCCGTCATTTGTATTCAGTTAGCTATGTAGCAACAGAACGGCCTGGAGACATCCTCAAACGATTTCAGAAGACAGGCTTACGAACATTCAGTCTAGGCGGTAATCCTTCACGCTTGCCGTTGGTATCTTCTGAAGTGTTAACTACCTTGTCTTTGTTTATGGTCCAATAGTATTTGTCCGAGTGTGTTCACCCTGTGGAGAATGTTTGATTAGGTGGACCAAGTTTCTGATGAGCCTGTATATCTTTTTCTGACATAATGATAAGTGACTGCTGCCAGGCATACTTGCGCTCGTCGTTTGTTCATGTGCACTCGGAAAAACTAAAGGTATGTTGTAGACAAGTCGCAAAACGATCAACCGAGATATCGCACCAGAAACTAATAGGGCGGGACTTTCTCTGCATAACTTCGCCATTGACCGGCAGTTCGACCCTCCTGAACGTGTGTGAAATGCGCACCTTGGCGCCTACGAGTTTGTCTGTTCTCAGTATCCAGGAGTGAATTGTGAAAAAAGATACCCAACACAATTTTTTTCACCAGTTAACTCCCAATAGATGATACGTCCTGCCAGGACCAGATTTTACGCCAACATGCTCAGTATTTGTAGCCCAAAAATCAGTTTGTTGTGAGAGGACGAAAGAAAATAAGTGGGTTGGCGAAATCTGTCCCTCAGACGATTTAGAGGCGCTGGGTATTTTAGCCACCAACTTATCTCTAACGTTTAATAATAATTATTCTAATAAAGTTCCTTTTAACAGGTGCTCACAATGCTCGTAGCTGCCTGTGCAACCGTCTTGCATAATATGCATTTGCCAACCTGTCGTTCTCGAAGGCGCAAATGCAAAAAGACAAACGTATTCAGTACCCATGGGCACACATGCGGCTGATGGACATTTGACTACGAGACTTGCCGGGCTCAATTCTACACGTTAACGGATATTTTACCAGAGTGAATGCAACGAAATAAAAACTTCTGGGGCATGTGGAAAGATCAACTCCAGGAAACATTTGGGGAAACTTAATAGCAGGAATCGGAATGTCATTTGTCTGGCGTGGCTGATTCACACTTGAAAGTACCCTCAGAAACGGGAACAAATAAGGGCAGCAGACCTAATCGTCCTAGTACTTACAGGATGCAACTGCTATGCAAATACGTGCCTATTAAAAGTTGCAGTAGTTGTTCTGTCCGGGTCTTCGTCGAAGAAAACGAGAGATAACTCTCAAGGAGAATTAATGAAGGTGCAACAACTGAAAGAAAATGACGCCCATTAACAAGTTTTGAATTCTCCGGTGGGACTCTATAACTCTTTTAAGTTCCCCCGCAATAAAATTCTTCAAAAAGGTGACAACTATGTGAGCTGCGAGCTGCTTGAACCATAGTTTTCTGACCCGCACTCTGTCAAGGTACGCGACGATCTTACCCTCCTTATTCAGCGATAAAATTGCAGAGAGCACGTGAGCTAACTCTGTTTCCAGTGGTAGTATCGCTGAGCCTTATTTCCGAACGATTGCCACGCCAAAAAACAACATCGGTAATGAAATTACGGTGACAGGCGATTCGAATAAGGGCCGTTAGGCATTCATTGCATTGCCTCTGCTATGAATGCGCTGGCGGCTAGTTTCAACTGGTGCGTGATTGCGTAGCAACTTTACCCTATTAATACTGCGCAGCTCAGTTTGTCGCCATTTTAATGGTAGGTTCGAGGATGAATTCGAAACTTCAGGCGCTCGAAAACCATGTTGCAATGATCGTATCTCCCCATTTTCACCATGGCTACAGCCAATAACCGATCTCTCGAGATTTTGATTTGAATTTTGAAATGAGTTTTTGGCTAGGAAGGAGTGCGTACGCGGGAGTATATTACGGATTATCGTTCAGCATAATCCAAGATATTTCAGCCACGCCAGCATGGCAGCTTTCAAATGCACTACCCATCGATCACCTCCAAAAGTCACACTTTGTAAACGTGGTCACTCGAGTAGTATGATTTTCTCAACTGGTTTTCTATGCCTTTATCAGTCAAAATGCGTTTTGTAGAAAAAAAAGCCAAACACGCGTTCTTGTGTTCGCTGACAGAAGCGAACAGGTGCGTTTCAGGAATCAGTTTAAAAGAAGAAGATGCGACCACTGGAACAAGGATTTTATTGGCCTGACGTTTTGGATTCTCGCTCGACCCCATCATTAGAGAGGGTCGCAGCAGTATAGTATATCGTGCTACCTCCAGCAATACATTTTCAATCTTTTAATGTGCTGCGCTGTGCCAATTTTCTTATACGAAATTCCTGGTCGGATGTGGTTTGGTAGCCCCATCTGAAGCAAACGGACCCCAGTCACTTCTAATATGGGACCCGTGGCAATAGGGGGTTTTAAAGGTGGGGCCGAGGTACGCACAGGCGACGAGGTCAAGTAATTGTATGCAAAAGAAAAGCTATTGGGAATGCGCGGCTGTATTCTGAATGGTTGAAAAATAGTTGCTCTAACCCCTAACTAGAACCCCTAATCCTAAATCCTAACCCCAAACCATAACCCGTAGCCATAGCCTCTAACCCTTAACCCCAACCCCAACAGTATTGTGTGCATCAGGTGAGGCTATAAACCACGTATTACCAAATTCTTTCATGCCAAGGTGGTCGTACTGCCGAGGAATCACCATAAGTTTGATAAATTTCGTTCATCCACTTGAATACACGTTCGACGCAGTTTATTCAGACCTAATTGACAAAAAGAGCCTCGTATCGTTTACTGGAAGAACAGTATATTTTACTGTTATGTTACAAATCATTACCAACTGCTTTGAACTGTCCTGCCTGTAAGTGCAACTTATTCAGCATGCGCGTATTTATTGGCTTTGCTTTGATGCAGTGTAGCTTTTGTAGATTTGTGACAACAGTTTGTACTTTTTAAAATCTCACACCATAGCCACGTTGACGAATATGCTTCCAGGAACAGGAATGCAACATAATCTTCATATCAAGACTATGTAAAATCTCCTATTGAATTTCACAGGGTTAATAAATCGCAAACCCTGGAAATCGACAGGCTCTGTGCCTTTAGTAGCTGGCATTTAGACTGGCTGAATGTGAGACTGTATTTCGGTGAGCCCCCGTGTCCTATAGACAGTTTCCGAACCTCAGAAATTTGTATTCTGTGAATTTCGATCAAGTAAAACACTCCAGGCCGTGACATTTTAGTCTGACTAAGCCATTGGCGTAGTTATTGAAAGTTCACAGAGGAATTTAAGCACACACTAGTGTTGAATGTTAACGTGGTAGCCCAAGAGCTACGAGTGTATAAAAAATGAAACAACTAAAATCTTCTGTGCTTAAATAAATTAATTCGCAAGTGATACAAAATCTATCTTGATGTCATATAAATGTATGTACTAAAGTGTCCGGTAACGTTGATTTTGGGAAAAAAATCTTGAGTTTGTTTGTAAGACGGGAAATTTATGCGTTGAAATTTATTAACAGTCGAGGTGCCTGTCAACAGAGTTTTTGGTTGCTTTAGATATGTTATTTGGTAAGCCTTCACGAAATCTTCAGATATTTCCTAATTTCCGTGTCCTATGGCAACATAGAATATATGTTAGTAGGGTAAAGAAATTCCAGTCAATAGGTTTTAACCAGTTCGTACAGACTAGCGCAAGGGGTAGCAAAGTCTGTCTTGAGACCTTCCTACTTCCGGGTTCGATATCATTATCCAGCCGAACAAAACAGGAAGTTGTGGAGGCGCCTTTTCTATTACAGTAGTGCACAGCTTAGGCTGAGCATTTGCGCTATTAACAAACAGCTCCTGTTGATCACTGCTGGATATTTTTGAACAGCACTTAATACTTAAACGGTCCAGACAACCATTTAACTTTGGCACGAAATATCAGTTCTGTTTCATTGGCAGGGCATATGTCACTTGAACTGTGATTCTCAAGCCAGTATGAAAGACTGTGACAGTTTTCATCGCTCAGAGTGCCACCGGGGTGTAGGGGTGTCAGCGGTGGGTTCACGTAATCGTCGTGGTGGTCGCTCACTTGCTTGCAGGTGAGACTACGCCTAGCGTCCACTTGCTGGCACTCAACTCTCACCCGTGGCTCCACGTAGCTGGACTCTGCTCAGCAGCCACACCCCGGGCAACCGTCTCGACCGGCGGGCTTAACCAGGTGAGGGGGCCCTGTGCGCTGTGCCGTGTGCACAGGGTTTGCGGATTCCCCTGGATGGAACCTTGCGTCGGCACCGTCGTGACGTGGTTCGTCTCTGCACGCCGCTGGACAGCCGGTGACGGGATGGATCTCCACATCGACATCGCCTTGACATGCCCACCTACGCCGCCGGAGACCGCGGCTTACGGCGAATTCGAGTCGCTCTCCACTACAACCCGAAGTCGTGGTCCCATAGTGGAGTTCGACCGTGCCACAACGGCACATGGCAGCCCTACTCAGGGATGGCACTGCCAGCCCCCACGAGGGGAAGGGCCTAGAAAAGGTAGCCTAAACATTGCTGGGTACCACGCCGTCTCCAGGCTAGCCAGGGCCGCAGACGTTTAATCATGGTCGAAACAATCGAAATCGAAACATCAACAATACCAATAACAACAACAACCGTACTCATTCCTCTGCCTATTCTTCTCCTTCGTCACCTTCTCCATCTCATTCCCGTCGCCCCACTCGTTGTCACCAGACTGGCAGGGTGAGCCCGCTCACTCTGGCAGCCTGGAATGTTCGTTCCCTTTTAGACAATCCGAGGAGCAACCGACCGGAACGGAGGACGGCGCTCTGGCACGAGAACTGGCGCGCTACAAGGTGGACATCGCCGCACTCAGCAAGGCCCGATTCTCCGAACAAGGCCAACTGGAGGAGGTGGGTGCCGGCTACACCTTCTTCTGGAGCGGTCGACCCAGGGCAGAGCGACGGGACGCGGGTGTCGCCTTCGCCATTCGGAACGACATCGTGGGACGACTGCCCTGTTTGCCGCAGGGCATCAACGATCGCCTGATGAGCCTCCGCCTGCCTCTCTGGGGAGGCAAATTCGCCACCATCATCAGCGCCTACGCTCCGACGATGACCAACCCCGACGCCGCCAGAGACAAATTCTACGAGGACCTGCACTGCCTCTTGGCGACTGTGTCGAAGGCGGACAAGTTGATTGTCCTTGGTTACTTCAACGCCCGCGTCGGCACAGACCATACTGCCTGGTGAGGAATGCTGGGTCCCCACGGTCTCCGCGGCTCAAACGACAATGGTCTGCTGCTTCTCCGCACCTGCGCAGAACACCGCCTCATCCTGACGAACACCTTCTTCTGTCTGCCGGAGCGAGAGAAGGCCACCTGGAGGCATCCTCGGTCGCGCCAATGGCACCTGCTGGACTATGTCCTCGTCCGGAGGCGAGATCAGCGGGAGGTGCTGGTGACAAAGGCGATCGCGGGCGCTGACGGGTGGACCGACCATCGCCTCGTCATCTCGAAGATGCGTATTCGCCTACAGCCTCGCAGGAGACCACAAGGTAAGCGACCCCCAGGTAAGCTGAATGTTGCCTTGTTGTCTTTGCCCGCTCACCATCTTCATTTCAGCAATGAGCTAGTTCAAAGGCTAGACAACCTTCCTATCGCTGCCGAGAACGCCTCCGTGGAGAACCGCTGGTGTCAACTGCGTGACACGGTCCAGTCGACGGCGCTCGCCGTCCTCGGTCGCGCTCCCCGCCAACACCAGGACTGGTTCGACGACAACGACGCCGCCATCAGAAATCTGCTAGCTGAGAAGAACCGCCTACACAAAGTCTACATAGATCACCCCACTGATGCCACCAAAGCTGCCTTCTACCGCAGCCGCCGCCAACTTCAGCAACGACTGCGCGAGATGCAGGACGCCTGGACCGCTCGCAAAGCTGAGAAGATCCAAGGGTACGCGGACCGCAACGAATGGAAGAGCTTCTTCTCTGCGATCAAAGCTGTCTACGGTCCGGCGACGAAGGGCACTGCTTCTTTCCTCAGCGCCGACGGCAACACTCTCCTGACTGAGAAGACGCAAATCCTGCAGCGATGGGCCGAGCATTTCCGAGGCGTCCTCAACCGCCCCTCCGTCATCTCCGACGCCGCCATCGAGCGTTTGCCGCAAGTGGAGACCATCAGGGCCGTGCAGCAGCTCTCCAGCGGGAAAGCACCCGGATCGGACACAATCCCTGCTGACGTCTACAAGCACGGAGGTCCCCAGCTAATGGATCACCTGACTGCGCTCTTCCAAGACATGTGGCGACAAGGTGAAGTCCCGCAAGATTTCAAATACGCAACCATCATGCAACTCTACAAGCGCAAAGGGAATCGCCAAGTCTGCGACAATCACCGCGGCATCTCCCTGCTGAACATCGCCGGGAAGATCTTCGCCCGCATCATTCTCAACCGCCTCAATAACCATCTGGAACAGGGCCTTCTGCCGGAAAGCCAATGCGGCTTCCGTCGTCATCGTGGGACCACGGATATGATCTTCGCCGCCCGTCAACTTCAGGAGAAGTGTCAGGAGATGCGGACCCACCTGTACTCTACCTTCGTGGACCTGACGAAAGCCTTCGACACGGTGAATCGTGAAGGACTGTGGAAGATCATGCAGAAATTCGGCTGTCCGGAGCGATTCACCCAGATGGTGCGTCAGCTGCACGACGGTATGATGGCGCGAGTCACGGACAACAGAGCTGTCTCAGAGGCATTCGCAGTGACCAATGGAGTGAAGCAGGGCTGCGTACTGGCGCCTACCCTCTTCAGTCTTATGTTTTCTGCCATGCTGATGGACGCCGACCGCGCCGAACGCCCCGGGATCCGCATCGCCTACAGGACGGACGGTCACCTCCTGAATCAACGGCGGATGCACTTCCAATCGTGCGTGTCCACAACCACCGTTCACGAACTCCTCTTCGCCGACGACTGCGCCATGAACACCACCTCAGAAGAGGAGATGCAACGGAGCATGGACCTGTTCTCCGCCGCCTGCGAGAATTTCGGTCTGGTCATTAACACGCAGAAGACGGTGGTGATGCACCAACCGCCACCCAACTCAGCCACAGCCCCCAACGCGCCGCCGCAAATCAGCGTGAACGGAACCTAACTGCAAGTGGTGGAGAACTTCCCGTACCTGGGCAGTACTCTCTCCCACAACACCAAGATCGACGACGAAGTCGCCAACAGGATCTCGAAAGCCAGTCAAGCCTTCGGTCGCCTCCAAAGCACAGTTCGCAATCTCCACGGTCTTCAGCTGAGCACGAAGCTGATGATGTACAAGGCCGTCATCCTGCCGACATTACTGTATGGAGCGGAGACTTGGACGGTGTACGCAAAGCAGGCACGTCGTCTGAACCACTGCCACCTCAGTTGTCTTCGTCGCACCCTGAGGCTAAAGTGGCAGGATCGAATCCCCGACACTGATGTGCTGGAACGGACGGAAATCCTCAGCATCTACGCCATACTGAGGCAAATGCAGCTGCGCTAGAGCGGCCACCTGGTGCGCATGGGCGACGAGCGACTACCCAAACGACTCTTCTACGGAGACGTCGCGACGGGTTCTCGCCGTCAAGGAGGCCAGATTCGCCGTCACAAGGATACCCTGAAGTCCTCCCTGAAACGCCTGCAAATCAACCCCACCAACTGGGAGGAGCTCGCACTCGATCGACCGACCTGGAGGAGGACAGTGAAGACAGGCGCTGCGATCTACGAAGCCAACCGCATCGCTGCCGCCAAAGCGAAACGTGAAGCCCGCAAATCACAACTTCGCCCAGTACGCAACGCCGCCGCACAACCGCTTGCAGCGTGTCCTCGATGTCAACGGACATTCCGGCCTCGAATCGGACTTGTTGGACATCTTCGGGTTAACTGCGCCTCTCGAACGACACCAACCATCGTCCCCCCGCCCGACTCTTCCTCCTCCTCTCCGCCGCCAACTAACTCTGACAATTCTTCTGACCCACCACTTCCATCATCCTCCTCCTCCCCTTCTACTCCTCCTCGCCCACTGCTCCAACGGCGGCCGCTCAGGCGACTGTTCCGCGCACAACAACCGGCACCACCACCACCTCCCCCGACTCCAGCGATGAGGATTAGGACTTCACCTGCCCACACTGTTCACGCACATTCACCTCACACATCGGCCTGGTCGGTCACTTGCGAATCCATCGCACAGAGACTGACGAACCAGCGCCTGGAGCACCAACCTACACCCATCGCACTCGCCTCCACTGCCCACACTGCCCTCGCACCTTCAGGCATCGCATGGGCCTTTTCGGCCACATGCGCATCCACAAGAGCGGCCTTGACCGCACTCCCGACACACCCACCACATCCACCGTGCACACCCCCACCCTAGCTCCATCCGTCCGCGCCACCACCACCACCGCCTCCTCTGTAGCTGACACTGACACCGCCGACTTCTCATGCCCACACTGTTCACGCACATTCACCTCACGCATCGGCCTGGTCGGTCACTTGCGAACCAATCGCACAGAGACTGGCGAACCAGTACCTGGAGCACCCACCTATACCCACCAAGCTCATCTCAACTGCCCACACTGCCCTCTCATTTTCAGGCATCGCATGGGTCTCTTCGGCCACATGCGCATCCACGACGACCTGCGGTAGACAACCGCCGGTCACACCACACATTCA